ACAAACACACACACACACACACACAGAGGGCGGGGGGGCAGGCAGACAGACACAATGACATACGAAACAAAAAGAGATAAATAGAGAGATAGATTAATTATTCAAAATTTTGTCTCTAACACGAATGCAAAGCCAATGCCGGGCTGATGAGTCATGATTAGCAGATTCAGGATTAGCTGCTCATTAGCTGCCATTAATGGTATTTGTCTGTTCAGGCCATAATTTTACGCGAACTTTATTAATCCATTATTCGCCTGATTATCATTTAGCAGAGCATGCCTCCATCTCGTTTTTGTTTCTCCTTTCTCTCTCTCACTCTTTCTTGCTATGTATGTATATGTTTACATACATATATATATATACATATGTACATGCAAACACACACACACACACACACACATATATACATATATACATATACACACACACATACACATACACACACACACACACACACACACACACACACATATATATATATATATATATGTGTGTGTGTGTGTGTGTGTGTGTGTGTGTGTGTGTGTGTGTGTGTGTGTGTGTGTGTGTGTGTGTGTGTGTGTGTGTGTGTGAGTGTCTGTGCGTATGTGTGTGTGTGTGTCTGTATGCTTATGTGTTTTTTTTTATCTATTCATCTATCCATATATACTTTTGTGTAATCGCATATTAAGTATATGAATATATGTTCACGGGACTATTAACTGCAAGTCATTAAAACGATGAACCCAAACCCCCCTTTAAGGGAAAAGAGACGAAGTATAAATCAAGGAAAAATGAAACAAAACTGCTAGTAACTTGGCTCGATTAACTTACAACCATCTTTCACTTTGGAGATAGAAAGAGCGAGCAAGCGAGAAAGAGAGGGAAGAGAGAGAGAGAGAGAGAGAGAGAGAGAGAGAGAGAGAGAGAGAGAGAGAGAGAGAGAGAGAGAGAGAGAGAGAGAGAGAGAGAGAGAGAGAGAGAATGAAAGATAGAGAGGGGGAGAGAATGAAAGATAGAGAGAAAGAGCGAAGGAAAGAGAGAGTGAAATCAAGTTTGCTTTGCAGATACTGCCATTTCCCGTCAATCGAAAAACTTTTCCTGAGAAATACACTGGGCCACCGGTTCCTTCAAATGATCTTAACTCTGATAGGAAAAAGAAACTTCATCAAACTCAAATCAACTCCTGCCTCCTGTTTCTTTTAACGCAGTCTCCCCCAAGTCCGCAAAGAAAATGGATAGAGTGAAGGGGAGAATGTGCGGAGAGGCGAGGAGACAAGAATAATTCTCTGTTCTCTTTCTCTCTCTCTTTCTTTCTGGCTGTTCATATGTCTGCATGTCTCTCAGTTTTCTTTTTCTCTCTCTCTCTTTCGTTCTATTTGTCTACTTGTATGTCATGTCAGTCTGTCTGCTTCTTCCCCCACCTCTCTCTACCTCTCTCTTTCTCCCCCCCCCCCTTTTTCTCCCTCTCTCCCTCATTCTCACCCCTTTTCTCCCTCTCTCCTTCATTCTCCCCCCTCCCCATCTCCCACTCTCCCCCCCCCCCCTCAGAATCTAAGCCTACAAACGCGGGCGTGAAGTGACCGTCTCAGGCCTCAAGAATCCTCGAGCACGCCCATAACCCCTTCTTCCCTCTCCACCAGGGAACTCCCCCCCACCCCCGCCCGGATAAAAGGTCCTGAGAGCGATAATTGAAAAAAAAAGGCGTCGTGAACTTGAAACAGATACGAGTCCGGATGGCGAAACTTTGTTCCTCGGAAGTTTTATGTCCGCTGTTTCACTTTTGGGAATCTTATTGTGTGCTCTGGTGGGGTGAGAGGGAGGGAGGGAGGGAGGGAGGGAGGGAGGGAGGGAGGGAGGGAGGGAGGGAGGGAGGGAGGGAGGGAGGGAGGGAGGGAGGGAGGGAGGAAGGGAGGGGGAAGGGATGAGGGGAGGGAGAGAGAGGAGGGTAGGGAGGGAGGGAGGTAGGTAGGAAAGGTGCGTGGGTGGATGGGAGGGTTTGATGGATGGAGGGGGGTTGGTGGGAGTGACATGTACACAAACACACACATACATACATACATAAACACACACACACACACACACACACACACACACACACACACACACACACACACACATATATATATATATATATATATATATATATATATATATATATATATATATATACACATATACATATATATACATACACATGTATATGTATGTATATATATACATATAGACACATATTATATACTGTATATATACATACATACACACACACACACACACACACACACACACACACACACACACACACACACACACACACACATATATATATATATATATGTATATATATAATCAAGAAAATCGCCAGCCAGGGGAAGACAAGACCATTCATAGCAACACAAGGACAGGTAGAACAGGACAAGCACAGTTTGGAAGGTATTAGCATTTCACAGAGAATTCCCAATAGCCGGAATAACCCCCCTCCGTTTGGTTCTTTTCCCCCTGTAAACCCTTTGATTTTCTACATTTCTTTCTCCCTTTCATTCCGTGTCTTTCTTTCTCTCTCTCTCTCTACCTCCATTCGTCTGTCTCTTTGTCTGGCTGCTTGCCTGTCTGTCCTTCGAATTGGCTGTGTCATTTTTGTGAATTATTTCCTAAACTCTTATTTTACGTGAATTAGACTGCATTTTCTCTCCCTTTTTTTTTATCAAGTCTCATTCACTTCCCCAGCTTTTTAAAAATCTTCCTCTTTTTTCCATTCCATTTCCATTTTTTCTTTCCCTTCTCTCCTCAAAATTCTCCTTTTATTCACTGTCTCCTATTTCTTATCATTTTCCTTCCCCTTCTCTCTGTATCCAATTTCCTCCTGTGTCCTTATCTTTATCAATCATATTTCCATTTCCTTTTTACCATATTGGTCATTTTCGTTCCTCCTCTATTCCCTTTCGTTATTTTTTTCGCATGCGAATGTAAACCTTCTATCCTTCAGCTTGAAAGTTGCAAATTGTTTGGAAATATTATATTCCATTCTCGTCATTGGTGTTATGGGATATTACTTAAAGGGTTAAAAGAAGGAAATAGTGAAATGGTAATAATATGGTGATGATGGTGATGATGAAGATGAATAAGATAACTGTGGTAATGGTATTAATGATAACGTTGACATCGACTGTGATGTACATGATTATGACAATGATAATGGTTACCATAATACCTACAATAATGAAATCAATGTTGATCGTGAGAATTACTATGATGGCGATCATAAAACAAACCAAAACAATGATAATAGCAATGTTATTGATAATAATAACGCTTATAATGAGGATGAAGAAGATAACTTTCACGACGATGACAACGACGACGACGATGAAGATAGCACAGCCACAGACCGTGTCCCTTTTCTTCACATTTCTCCTCGTTCTCTCTCCACTCCCCATTCCTTTATACTCGTGGTTGCAATCAAGGTAATATCCCCCCCTCCCCCCACATCTCAACCCCCTCACTCCCTCCTCACGCCCTTTCACTCAACTCCACCACCACACACACACACATACACGCGCGTAAGGCTTTATCGCTGTTTAAAATTAAAGTTCTATATACTTTACCCTCTTTTGATTAATATTTCATGCCACGCGGAAAGATTAATTTTGAAGGCTCTTGTGTCCACCTCGGCTAGGCTTTATCGCACGCTGATACGTTTCAGATTTGCCTTTGATTTTTTTTCTTAAAGAACGTTGTGCATATATATATTTTTTTCAACGTTGAAAATGAAGATTGTGGTGTGTAGGAAAATGAGGGAGAGAGAGAGAGAGAAAGAGAGAGAGAGAGAGAGAGAGAGAGAGAGAGAGAGAGAGAGAGAGAGAGAGAGAGAGAGAGAGAGAAAGAGAGATAGAGAGAGAGAGAGAGAGAGAGAGAGAGAGAGAGAGAGAGAGAGAGAGAGAGAGAGAGAGAGAGAGAGAGAGAGAGAGAGTGAGTCAGACAGACAGTGTTAAGATTGAAATATAGTACTTACCTACAGAAAAGCTTTCCTTCATTATCCAATCTGAGCCTAAACTTAAAACAATTACAATAACTTCAAACTCAAGACCCTGAAAAGGAATCCTGTCTTTTTCATTTCTTTTGATTTCGCAATCACAACTACTACAATAATTAGGTTAATGTAGTTCTTAAGCATCATCTTCCACCCGGTTTCTTTTTTCAACTAACAATATACATGAAAACATTCCAGACAGTATTTTTTTGTGTGTGACGTGGAGGTGGGAAAACTCTACGGGAAGAACCGACACTTTCACTTTCATATACTCTTCTCTTGACTCAAAATATTTCCTAAATCCTGTCCATCCCCCCAGCCTGTCTCTGTACCCTATGTTTTATAGTATCAAATATTCTATTTCGCATACTTATATTTTACATAAATTTCCCTTGCAGGTGAGTTGCCAGATAAGTCACGATTTATTAATGACAAGAAGAAAATAACTTTACAATTTTGTAAGGAGCTTAGAGACTTATAAGAACCTTATGTTGCAGCCAGAGTAAAAGAGAATGGCATTTTGATACCATTTTTTTCAATTTATTTTTTCTTTTTATTTTTGGCGGACATGGAATTTTGATACTAGGGATTATAACGACGAAAATAACTCTGTACTCTCCAATTTTCAGATACCTACATACATGATTGTGTCCTAATTGCAAAAACGCATGCATACACACGTCTCTTCCCTATCTGTCTGACTAACAGTCTTCCTGCTTCTGAAACTATTTATCTCTTTCTCAGTCTCTCTGTCTGTGTCTGTCTGTCTGTGTGTCTGTCTGTCTGTCTGTCTCTCTCTCATTCTCATTATCTCTCTCTCTCCGTCCCTCCCTCCTTCCTTCCCCTCTCTCCCTCTCTCTCCCTACCCCCCTGCTCTCTCTCTCTCCTTCCATCCCACTCCTTCCCTTCCTCCCTCAATCCCTCTCCCTCCCTCCCTCCCTCTCACTCTCGCCCCCCAACCCTTGATCCCCCCCCCCCTAATAATACTCACATAGATCCTTGAACAGGGATGTTTGAGCAGCCAGTCGGAGTGTGTGGATTCGTGGGGGTACGGTGGAAAGCGGGATACAGAGGGTCTCCTGGATGGCCGAATTCCTCATAGACACCCCATCGGTATTTCGCCCATTCGTGCACCACCACGCGACCTGTCCAAAAAGAGAATGAAAACGGGTGAGAAAAAAATTACTTAATCCAATGATGAGATTGACGGAGATAAAAGGTTAGGGGTATAGTGAGGTCTGGAGGTGAAGTACGCATTGGTAGGTTAGATAACTGAGTTTCTCGTAGTATAGGTCATGGCGTTTAATTTTCTGATAGGGTACATTTTTACATTCTTTTAGTGAGAGGGTAGACTTATCTAAAATAGACACACTTAAGTATTTAAACCTAAATGAATAGCCAAGGAGATGAAAAAAAGTACACAGATGAACACAAGAAAAATAAGATATTAGTTACACAATAATAATATTGTAGTGTTAGTGTCTTCGCTAACTTTTATTCTACCTAAATAAACATAAATCCCCCCTATCACTTTGCCTTTGTTTAGCACGACACCTTTCGCAAACAAAAACAACAACAAAAAAAAAAAAAAAAAAAAAAAAAATACGGAGATGAGGAGACCACGGTACAAACTCCCCGTCCATTCTTCCCTGAGATCCAGACGTAGACATGGCGTGCAAATGCGAAGGAGATCGAGGCTTTCCGTAAAGGGGATGTCCCTGTGTGAGTGCCAGCTTGTCACAGAAGGGGCCTCTTTCTTGCCCCCTTGCTCAATTTATGACCGTTTGTCCTTTTTTTTTTTTCTTCTTCTTCTAGTTCTTCCCTGCTCAACTTTACCAATTCCTTCGTGTTTTAACTGCACCTCTTCTTCCTTATCTCTAATTCTCCGTTTATCGAAATTTCATCAGTTCCTCTAATTATCGGTCAATTTACTTATTTCCGTTCGATTAGAGAAAGTATTCTAACATTTGGTGCATTCTGTTGTAGAAGGAAATTTTGCTATTATATGTCTGTTCTTCCTCCTCCCCCACGTTGTCTCTCTCTTTCTTTTTCTTTTTTCAAACTAACTCTTTTCCTCTCTTACTCCACGTACGCATATACGCACACAGGTACAATGACACACTTACACACACACACACATGCACACAAGGCAGACACAGCAGACACACACACAAACACAAAGCACGCACAAAACACACACACACACACACAAAAAAAAAAAAAAAAAAAAAAACACGCCTAACCCCTTGACAACTCGTCCCTGCCTGCATCCATTTCCATCTGCCTGCATGGCTGTTTAAACGCCCCCTGCTTGCCCGCTTGCCAAGGTGAGCAGCATCGCAAGGCTACCTCCTCACTGCAGCTAAAGTGCTTGCGAGCTCCGAACTTCAGCGGAATGTGCAACCTTTCGCAATCTGTGTCTCAGCTGATAGGGTAATTAGAGGAAGGGGCAGCACCTCGGGCGGATTCCGGGGCTTCGTCAGGGCTGGCTCACTCGCACCACGGGCGGTCGCGGTGCCCTGCTGTCGCCTCTTTCTGCGCCTTATCATGGGTGAGGATACGAACTCATATATGTGCTCACTTACTCACTTACACATATATATGCATACATATGCACACTTACTGGTATTCAAGCAAACATTCAAAAACACACAAACGCACACACGCACGCACGCGCACACACACACACACACACACACACACACACACACACACACACACACACACACACACACACACACACACACACACACACACACACACACACGTTGCTATAAGCTTTTAATTTTCTTTTACACTCTATATGATAGAGAATTTACACTTGATATTTCACCTTTTAGTTGTTAAACATGGGTACGAAAAACCGTAGATTATTCCCAGATTGGCGTTCTGATGATGAACGACACATCAAAGTATTACAAAGTTAGAAATGTAATGAAATGACATTAGGAAGAGGATAAAATGAGAAGCGAAGATGTGATGACGAAAAAAAATGTAATTGCTATTATTGATATTATAATGATGATAATGAATTATTATTATTATTATTATTACTGCTATAATGATAACAATAATTGTTATTATTATTATTGTTATCATCACTATCATCATCGTTATTAATATCATCATCATAATCATCATCATTATTAATATTATCATCATCATCATCATTATTAATATTATCATCATCATCACCATTGTTACCGTAGTAATCATCATCACTATTAATATCATTATTATTATTATCATTATCCTTTTCATAATCATCATCATTGTTATCTTTACTATTATCATCATCATAATTAACATTACTACCATCATCATCATCACCATGAAACGAAGATCAAAGAGGAGAAGAGGAAGAAGAAGAAGAAGATAGTGAAAAAGAAGCAGGAAGTCTTGAAGATGGAAAGATTGATAGAGTATTCATGAAATCTCAACTTGGCTGAATTGATGGTCTAACTTAGGAAAACTTTTTTTTTTCAGTGTCAAAATTTCCCTTGTGGGTATTACCATGTGGCGAGGTGGATGTGGGATTTACCTTCTGGATTTTACCTTGTGGGTTTTGCCTTGAGGGTTTTGCCTTGAGGGTTTTGCCTTGAGGGTTTTACGTTGTGGATTTTTTGTTTGGGAGTTTCGCCTTGTGGGATTTATCTTGTGGGTTTGCCTTGTGGGTTTGCCTTGTGGGGTTTGCCTTGTGGATTTTACCTTGCGGGTTTAACCTTGTGGATATTGCCTTGTGGGTTTTACCATGTGGAATTTACCGTGTAGACTTTACGTTGTGGGGTTTACCTTGGTGATTTTGCCTTGTGGAATTTACCTTGCGGGTTTAATCTTGTGGATTTTGCCTTGTGGGTTTTATCTTGTGAATTTTGCCTTGTGGGTTTAACCTTGTGGATTTTACCTTGCGGGTTTAACCTTGTGGATTTTGCCTTGTGGATTTTATCTTGTTGAGTTTGCCTTGTGGGTTTAACCTTGTGGATTTTGCCTTGTGGGTTTGACCTTGTGGATTTTACCTTGCGGGTTTTATCTTGTGGGTTTAACCTTGTGGATATGCCTTTTGGGTTCTTCCATGTGGAATTTACCTTGTGGATTTTACCTTGCGGGTTTTCCTTCCCGTAATAGTCAGAAGGACTGAAGGTTATTATCGTGAAGTTTATATGGAAGATGATGATGATGATACTGAGGATGGTGCTTATGTTGATGATGGGGTGAATGATAGTAACATTTAATAGCCATAATGATTGGAAATAAGTTGAAAATTATTACCAATTATTGTTTTACTAGAGAGGTCGTACAAGAAAAGTGAGAGGAGAGGAGGCAAAGAAGGACGAACGAGAAAAAAAGAAAAATATAAAGAGGCTTAGGAGAAGAGGAAGGAGGAATAGGAGGATGAGGAAAAATAAAGACAGAGTAAGAATAGAAGAAGAAAAGATAGAGTGGTGAAAATGGAGAAGAAAGAAAAGGAAGCAGATGAAGACACAGAGTAGAAAAAAAGAATGGAAAAGGAACTTGGGACGAAATAAAGAGAAGGAAGAGAGGACGAAAGTTTAAAAGCGAAGGAAGATGGAAAGGAGTTGCAAGAGGAAGAGAAAGGGAAGGAAAAAGGAAAGAAGGAAACAGAAAAAGGCAAGCAGGAAATAAAGAAGAAGAAGAAAAAAAAATTATGGGAGACGAAGAGAGAGAGAGAGAGAGAGAGAGAGAGAGAGAGAGAGAGAGAGAGAGAGAGAGAGAGAGAGAGAGAGAGAGAGAGAGAGAGAGAGAGAGAGAGAGAGAGAAAGAGAGAGAGAGAGAAAGAGAGAGAGAGAGAAAGAGACAGAGAGAGAGAGAGAGAAATAAAAAAGGAGACAGAGAAAAAGGAGAAGAAGAAAATAATCACGAAACGTCGAACCCTCTACGAAGAAGCTAATATCAAAGTCTGGCAAATGTTTAACAGAAGCGTGAATGATTTCCCTTCACTCTCTTCACACTTTCTTCTGCATAATTACCATTTATCTGCCTCTCTCCCTTCCTCCGCCTCCAGAACCAATCTCTCACCCTTCCTCGTGGTTTTGCCAATTCTCTTTCTTCGCATTTTCTAAGCGTCGGTTCCTTTGTGCCTCCTTTATCTCCATGGTGTTATTCCTTTTCTCCCCTCTATGTTTGTTCTTTCATTCGTCGTCTATCCATCTCCCCGGCCGCTCCCAAGGCTGGATCCTTGTAAGAAGCGTCTTAATCTTAGAGGGAATTTCCGTATGTACGTGTTCTCCTCTTTTAAGGGGTGGCGTCTCGTTTTGAAAATTATCTCTCTCTCTCTCTCTCTCTCTTGTTTTGTTTTATTCTTCCTGGCTGTCTTGTTTTGTTTTGTTTTATACTCTCTCTCTCTCTGTCTCTGTATCTCTCTCTGTCTCTGTCTGTCTGTCTGCCTCTCTCTCTCTCTCTCTCTCTCTCTCTCTCTTGGTTTGTCTTGCTCTCTCTCTCTCCTTTATTTTCCTTGTTTTGTCTTAGGCTTTCTCTCTCTTTATTGCATTGTCTTATTCTTTCTCTTAATATAATTCTTTTAACACGCATCGGTACGCCTGCCTGCCAGTCTCTCTTCCTCCTTCTCTCTCTCTTTCTTTCTCTCTCTCTCTCTCTCTCTCTCTCTCTCTCTCTCTCTCTCTCTCTCTCTCTCTCTCTCTCTCTCTCTCTCTCTCTCTCTCTCTCTCTTCTCTCCCCATCTCTTTCTCTCTCTTTCCTTCACTTTAACGTGTTAGTCCCATCCCCTTCTTCTTTCTTTGCCTTTCACCTTAATTCCTTCCCCTTCTCTCGTCTCTACCGTGTCCCCTCTCTTTTTTTTCCTTTCGCTCGTATTTCACATAACTTCGTCAGGATCCTTATTCCTTCGTTCCTACCGAGAGCTCTGCCTTCTCACCTGCTCTTACATCAGATATCTTGGATCGCTTTTCGTCTACGCTCTTTTCCCTTGTGGTTTTGGATGTTATTCTTTCTTCTCCTCTATCTTTGTCTATCTATATCTCTGTCTGTCTGGCTTTGTCTTCCTGTCTGTCCGTCTGTCTGTCTCTTCGGTCAAAAACTTTTATGTTCATATTCATCTACTCAGTGAATAAGTAAAGAACGTGATTAGTTAAATAGTAATACAGACAAAAAAAGCACAAAATAGGCT